CACCAGCACTGCTGGGCACAGCAGGTCGCTGAAGCAGGAGCACGGAGTGATGCTCAGCTCCCTAGTTTGTTGTCACCCAACTGGGTCTTGCAGCTGCTCAGGCTTTTTGGGGCTGGCCTGGGCTGTTCCTCTGCCAGGCTGGCTGCAGCAACCACCCGGCGGCGGGTGAAGTAGAAAAAGACGTTCACAACATTAATGAAAGCTTTGACAAAAAGGAAGCGAGGGAAACTATTGTCTCCTCGGCCTTATTCTCATAATGTCTGCGTGTAATAAGTCTTTTGGTTATGCTTGTGGCTTCTGTGACAAAGCAGTGATTTAGGGGGCTGTCTTTACAGAGGCAGAGCTGGTCACACAGGCCAAAGTGCTGGTGAGTAATATTTTACCACAAATTGTTGTAACTGGAGCTTGACAACTGCAGCAGGAAGGAGGGTGGGGGTTTGCATTTGATTTATTAGATGACTTACTGCAATTTGCAAGAGTGAGCTCTTTGCTAATGCAGCCCCTAATTTGCAAATCCTGCAAGTAAAAGTCCATGTGAGTGAAACCAGGGAGGGGAAAACTCTGTGTTTTGCTGCCAGGATCCCCAGGGGTTCCCCAAACCTGCAGGAGGCAGGCACACATCCTGGCTGCCAACCAGCTGCTCCACCTGATGGCATCTGGGAATGCCGGGAGCCTTTCCAGCCCGGTGCCAAATGCTGGTGGGAACTGGGAAGTCTCTCTTTTTGTGTGGACACCAAGTATAAAATAATTCCTCTAGGCAGTCGTGCTTTCTCTCTCAGCCTCCAAACCAAGCCAGAAGTTAAAGGGACATTTTCCTAAACCTGAGTTGTGAAACATCTTAAAGATAAGCTTTAAAGAGGGAGGGAGGAAAGCTGCTGCTTGGTTTTGCATTACTTTGAAAATTCAGGTCATGTTTACTACGAGCAGCTGGAAAATTATGATCTCAGATGCTAACAAGTAACATCTGAAGGGAAGCGTTAAAACATTCAAGCTGTTTTGTAAGCACCTACTTTATTTTATGCCAAAAACCAGTTTAGCTATTTTTAAAGATTCATTTGTCCTCGTGAGTACCTGATGTTGCTTATCTAAAATAGGTGAAAAAGAACAAGAGGTTGCCCTTCCTTTTAATTTCAAATGGAAAAATTGTGGGTTTTGTTTTGTTTTTAAAAGACCGCAAACCAACAAACAAACCCATCCTAAAGCTTCCTCTCTGCTTCAGAAAGGACAGATACCTACAGTCTGAGAGCTTTTTGTCCTGCTCCAAGCTGACCTTGTGTAATTTCCTTTATTTACATTTGGCTGGCAGTGGCCTCATTGACTGCAAGAGTTTATACAAGCACTTTTGAGAGGAATACTGAGGCTTGCAGAAGGGAGTTCTGCCCCATGTTGTCCTCTTATTTACTAGTAAAAAGTATCTATACGATGCTACTGAATAAAAAGAAGTAGTCTTATCCTATTTTGTTCTGGCCCTAATGCCTTCGTACCAGGATAACAGCAGAGGTCATGAGCAATTAATTTAAACCAGGTGGAAAAAATGTCTCTAAATTGTTTCTGTGTGGGGAGACATCTGATAGCATTACAATTTTATGTGCTTTTATTTATGTGAACAGTGTGCAGCCTTTGTAATGCTTTTTTTCTGTTAGGGTTGTTTTGAGGAAGCGGTTGCAAATGATGTTTGTTCACTGCTGTTATTGAGCCAGAATAAAATTTGGAGGCAGATTAGCTTCCCAGGACTTTGGTATTTGCCTTGTCTACTCTGCTTGCATGTGTGATCACCTCTGTTCTAGAACTTCTGCAACCAGAATGAAAACAAATTGCACTTCATAAGTATCAGTGGCGTGATGACTCCGTCAACCAGGAGTTCATTGCAGATCTAATACATAGGTTGATGTTTGGGATGAAGCAGCAAGACTCCTTGCAGGGTTTGGTGGTGCTGGGAGTCAAGGGCTAAGTGGGGAAGGGCATATCTCAGCTGGTGTAAAAAATAAGGGTTGAGGGAAAGAAAATTGCCCTTTAGTCCAACTATCCTGCTATTTAGTTGCTTGATTTCTGATACATGAGCCGCCTAGCCTGGCATGGAGAAAGTATTCTGCAATTCAGAGAGATGATAAAATAATTACATGATTGCATGCTTCTTGAAGACACGAGGATAATGTTCCCAAGTGCCACCAATTCAGTTACCACTCAGCAGAAGAAAAGGCTCCTTCTAATCAGGCCTCCCCGGGCAAGGGTTTACAAGAGTACCCTTGAGGTCGGCACTAATCTACCAGCCTCCAAGCAACTCTTGAAGCCTTTGAAGGAACGCAGGATTGCCCAATCTGCAGGGTAAACACGCTGCTTCAGGCTGAGGAAGCAGCATGTGACAGCCAGACTGTGAGAGCCCTTTGGGGAGGGGAAGTGGTGGCCAGACCCTGCAACTACCCCCTGGGACAAGGGCACCCAGCCTGGGCCTAGGGATGGAGATGAGGGAGAGGAGGAAAGTTTCTTTATTTTCTTTATTTTAAAAAAAAAAAAAAAAGGAAAAAAAAAAAGAAAATGTTTATTGCAAAACTCAGTGTTTTAAGAGTATTTCCAGAGTCCACTAGGTAGGTTGCAAACGACTCAGTAAATCCTGCTTTGCACACATTAAAGCCTGCTCTGGGTCTTCTGCGCCCACACACACACATTCTCACTCGCTCCCCTGCTCGTGCCGCGACACAGACAGGAACAGAAACGTACTGTGAGGTCAGTGACAAACGTATTATTTGATCTGGACTGGAAAGTGTTGTAAAAATAAAAAGAAGAATTACAGTAGAACCTCGCAAATCTGCAGAGCAGGGAGCTTCCACACACACGCAAAACCTGGAGGCCTTATTCTACTTCCAAGCAGAGTTGTAATAGCAAAGTGCTGTAGTGAGGTCTCGTAACACAAAGACTTCAATAATCTTACAATGATAGTCTACAGAACATTTACCAAAATGCTTGAAGTGTCATAAATTAACAATAAATAAGAAGTACATCTTAACGCAACATGGTTATTTGTTCATTTACTCACTGAATTCACAAAACTTGAGTTGTTTGTAAGGGGTCTTCCAGTCCTGGGTGCAACGCAGCGAGGTTCTGCTGGCCGTGCTAAAGTGCTGAGGCAGAGGAAGGACACGAGACTGAGGTCTCGGGCAGTGAGGATGAACTGCTCTAGCCACTTGGTTGCAAGAGTGCCTGTTTCTTTTTCTCTTTTTTTTTTTTCTTCTTTTTTTTTTTTTTTTTTTTCTTCTTTTTTTTTTTTTTTTTTTTCTTCTTTTTTTTTTTTTTTTTTTTCTTCTTTTTTTTTTTTTTTTTTTTCTTCTTTTTTTTTTTTTTTTTTTTCTTCTTTTTTTTTTTTTTTTTTTTCTTCTTTTTTTTTTTTTTTTTTTTCTTCTTTTTTTTTTTTTCTTTTTGACATCTAAGACAGAAAGAACAAATCAAGCACCTTCCCAAAAAGGTTGTTTTTTGTGTTGTTTTTACAGATTGTCCCCTGTTTCTATGGCTGGTAGCATACAGACAGGTCAGCATAGCAGTTAAATGAATGATGCCACTTCCACTTCAATACACAGAAATGCTGGTTTGGTTGTTTTCCAAACCAAAACAGACTTGTTTTATTTGTCCCCCTGAGTTGCCTAGAGGCGTTAAGATGCATATAGGTGGGGTAAGCAAGCTTGTGTCACCGTGAGTAGGAATCTCTTCCATTAAGACTAAATGAACAGCTAGTACATCATCTCTCATCACTCCCTTCACGCCCTCAATGTGCACAGGCTCCACTGTGTTTCTCTCTGAAGTCAGCAGCAAAAAAAGCCTCTCACTGGCTCTATGAGGGAGCTGGGTAAGGGGGTACAGCTCAGAGAGCTGCCCCGTGCCCCCACAGTTGCAGCAGACAGCGAGGGGCTGGGTGACGTGGGAGTGTCCACATTCATTTGGTGATGGGGCAAAGATCTCCTTGTGCACTGGTAAGTGAAGGTTTCAGGTACATTAAGACACACTGGGCCAAATCCTCTCTGCAGGGTGGGCTGGTTACAGCAGCCAAGCTGGGTCCATTGACACCAGCTGAGGCATTGTGAAAAGAGATGCTGGATCTGTAGTTGATTATTTTTTTTTCCTTTTTAAATTAACAACTGGGTTTCCTAAGACCTACCTATTAAAACAGCTACACTCTATGCTTTAAGTTTCCCAACAATTTTACTAGCTAGCAATGCAAGATGGGTGCTGTAGAGTTGGATGTAAAGACAGCTTTCCTTATGCACAAGATGATTTTTCCTCTCTAGTTATTTAAGCTAACCTCCTTTAACAATCTTAGAATAAATTAATAAATACTAATTAAATTAGAAACAGTACATCAAATCTAACCATCAATAGAAAGCAGTTCTAAAGATACCAATCGGGAGAAGAAAAATCATCTTATGAAATATGTGCAGTAACAACTGGCCATAAGGATGAGCCTCTGATTGCCCAGCATTTGTGATGTTCAAGTTAATTAGAGGAACATTAGCAATGGTTTAAGTCAGCTATCTAGCCTAGCCTCCTCCTCAAAACTAGAACAAGTCCATCTTCTTCCAAAAGAAGATTCAGTTGGCTACTGGTAGTGTAAAAAATGCTTGTCTCCAGTTCATATCATCAGTTTCTCTTCTGTGTGGAATTTGCAGTGGGGGTGGGTGAGGACAGTCAGAGGCTGAGCTGCTTCTGCTGTTGCTGTTCTTCTGGGATCAGGTGAACCTTTACCTATGCTTGCTATCAGGAAAGCTGGAGTGCGCATCACATCTTCATGCTAGACAGAAGTTATTCTTACGTGGCTATCCATATGTGCTATGGAGCTTTCCATTGTTGGTTAAAAAAGTTCTTTCTAGTAATAAAAAAAAAGGTGATGGTAGCAACTGTTCACATTTAAAATTTCACATTCCCTTTAGAATGTAGTTTTAAAACGTGGAGCAGAGCTGACATTTTCCCTAGCCTTGCGCCGAGTATGTTAGATGGAGAAGGAGCAGGTTTCTTTACGCTGTGCTGTCAGAGCCTTTTCCTGAATTTTCTGCCTTCCCAATATCCATGTCAATAAAGTCCTCTGGTACGTCTGGTGCAGCCTCAGCCGTGCCCTGCTCTGCATGCTGCTGCTGGTGGGGGCACAGCCCAGCCTTGCACGGCCTCACCAGGGACAGAAACACAGCACCCAGGACCATGCCAGCAGCACAGGAGTAGAAGGCTGAGCTGTAGTTCTGTGTTGTATCCACTAAGACACCTACAGAAAAGACATTTCCAGCAGTTAGCCACAGCCTACTCTCCCTTGCCCATCCATCCCTCCTGTGGGAGGGTACTCAGGGTACCAATGCATTGCAAGACACTCAGTGACAACTGATGGTACCTTAAAGTAAAAACATTGTGTGCAGGGGTAGGTAGTGTTGTCTTCAGGCAAGTCAGAACCCTTTGGGCACTGCAGGGATGCTAAGCCTGAGATGCATCAGGCATCTATTTATTATGAGACAGACTTCACGTTCCTCCAGTGTGTGGCAGAAGCACAGACACAGTGAAACAACTTGTTTCTGCTGTTCTCTGGAGCCTGAACCGATGCCAGTTTTAGGTTTCTAACAGGACTAGGGTAGCACTGCAGCATTTCCCTTCACTCTGAGGTTCCTCAGTAGAGACTGCCTCATCAGTGGGACGCTGCAGAGCTGCATTGCAGCAGTCTTCTGGCTCCAAGAGCCTCCTAATACTACAGTTGCAGGGCTTTTAGTAGAGTACCATGATTAGCACTGCCAGAACACTTTCTAGACAAGAGCTCAGCACCAACAGCTGTCAAACATACAAAAAAAGAAAAGTTTTAGAGTTACCTGCAAGGGGTGGTCCAGCCAGCCCAGCTAAGCTTTGAATGAAGACGTAGACTCCAGCTGCAGAAGACATCTTTGCAATGCCAACCACGTCGTCTTCTGCCAGGAGGGGAATATGTGTGCCCGCTACTGTCCCGAGCATGAACCCAAAAAATATGCTACATGTCATCAAGCCCCAGAACTCAGAGGCAAAAGGGAAGGCAAACAGTGCTACAGAGAGCAGAACAACGCAGATGAGTTCGATGTAGATCTTGCGGATGGGCTTTTTGTTGAGGACCCAGCCAGCTGAAATTCTTCCAAAGACCTCTGCAATCGCCATGGCAGACAGGATGTATGCAGAGTGGTCTTTGCCAATGCCAAGGCTGAGACTCAGGGGGATGATGTAGAGGGAGGGAGCAAAGAAGCCCAGGGTAGCAAACAGGCCAAATAATGCATAACAGATAAAGCTATAGTCTCTCATCACAGAGAAGTCCAGTAGTTTGGTTTTTGGTTCTGGAGGGGTGCTGTTATTTTCAGCAAGTATCTGTACGTGTTCCTTTGGTTCTTCAGTTTTCGGCTCTGCTTTGGTTTTTCCAGGCACATTGCTGGGTGAGGTAGTTATTTCTACTCCTGAGTCTATGGACTCTATTGAGGTGCGTGTTTGCTCATTTTCAAGCATGTACTTTGTCTCCGTGGGCTCCTCAGGAGGCTGTGCTTTCACTTCTTCTTGCTCTTTGATGATAATGGGTCGCAGCAGTGATCCGCAGATGACGATGCTTAGCTGCAGCACCCCGACAGAAAGGAGGCTGTATCTCCAGCCAATCTGCTCCTTCAGAGCAGTAATTGCTGAGGGAAGAGGGCAGAAGATTAAGAAATTATACCCATAAAAGCCTGTGGTTACAGCAAGAGCTATCTGAATTTACAGCTAGGAAAGTAACTGAACCTTCATCACTGGAAGATCCCAAGCACCTCAGCTCTTGCAGATGCTGAGCAGGGGTCCCTCCTGGTCCTTACTGCCCAGGGCCACCAAAGTGTCTGGCACCCATGTTCTTCCCATCAGCTGCAGAAGAGCTAGAAGTTGAACATCTGGCTACCAGAAGCTATCCTCTTGGTAGCCACTTTTGAGGTCTCAGCAAGCCTGGGATATACGAGGACATGGGTGGTGTTATTTTTAGAGAATGAGAGCAAATTCAGTTGGGTTTCCTCTCTCAGCTAACCCCACCCTGAAACCAGCTACTAGAGGAAGTCTCTTTGCTTTTACCCAAAGGTGTATGTACTGCTTAATTACAAGCCTTTGTTTGCAATCAAAGCTGCTTTGCAATGGGTATTAGCTGAAAGCAAGTGTGCACAGCAGAAGACCACCTGAACATCTAAGGACAGGCAGTGACAGGGACATATTGCCTGGGGGCAGGTCCCCAGAAGGCTGGGGCAGCTCAGCAGGCATGCTGAGCACAAGCCCACTAACCTTTAGGAGCAGTTATGTGTACTGCATGCATTTTAAATAGCTGAAGTTTCTCAGTCTTATTTTTAGCCTGCTAGATCTATATAGGGAGCTCGTTGGGCTGCATATCAGTGAGACACGTCCTGCTCTGGCAGGCAATGCTAGGAGAGCTTGGGCATCATTAGATGGGTCTCTAGGATTACTGGTAACCCTGCCTGTGGGGAACAAGGGCCACAGGCATGTGAGCAACCACCTGTGGGCTTTAGCAGCTCAAAGGAAGGTCCATGAGCACCCATGAGGTATTGATGGTCTTTGCCTCCCATTTGCTTGGGAAGAGGATCAGAGCAGCACTGTGCTTTAGGCATGCATGTGTGAAGGCAGAGGGTTCAGGCACTGTACCTGGTGCAAAGGAGAAAACAGCAAAACATTCCCCTGTAGATGCCACTGCTGTGACCAGCGAACGTCTTTTGTCAAAATACTGTGATAATATGGTGACAGTCGGGAGGAAAGAGAGGCAGTATCCAAGGCCTGTGAATAAATGCCAAAAATTGCCATAACAACAAGAAAGGGAGAGGGAAACACCGATGCGAGAACACGTTAATTCAGCTTTCCCCGTGGCGAGATTACAGAATCATTTCGGCCAACTCAGCAAGTCATCCTGAAAGAAAATCATTGGGGAAACCAGAATGTTATTTTTTTTAATTGGAAGGAGGGATAGAAGAAAAAAAAAAAAGAAAAAGAAAAATGAGACCCAACCTCCCAAACCTGCTAGATAATCCTTCTGTCCCCCAACAGCCAGCAGGGTCCACTCTCAGGACCTCATCTGCTTTAAGAGTTTGAGCCTGTAGCAATTGCTGTCCTAAGCAAGGCAAGCTGCCGGCCACAGAAGTGAGCAGGACACCCAGGTCAGATTGGAGAGAGGGAGGAGTAACAGGGAAAAAAAAAAAAGATAGAGGGAGAGGTTAGAGGATTTGACCCTGCAAACAGCTTTCTTCTCCCCAGCCATCGCAGTCCATCAGAAGCAATCAGTACAGCTGCACTAGCACAGTGCAGACCAAGCCCCAGGGTGGTCCCCAGGGTGACAAGAGGCAGAAGACCAAGCCTTAAGCTCAGGTCGTCACCTCTGCCAGGAGGGCAAGGTCAGCTCAGAAGGGACAGCAGCACTTCTCAAGCACACCCAGTGTCCTGGGGAGTCAAGCCCCCCTGGCCCAGAGCTGCACTTGCAGGAAGCCACAGGAGCAAGCGAAGCACCTGGCAGGTACAGGAACAGAAAACTCACCAGAGATGACGCCGATGGTGACATACATGTGCACGACGGTGCGGGCGAAGGAGGCGGTGACCATGCCGGTGCTGATCAGCACCCCCCCAGCCATCACCACCAACCGGTGACCGAAGCGATTGCTGAGGACCGTCGACAGAGGAGCTGCATGGGAGGGAGAAGAACGGAGCTGTGGTCAACACCCTAGTCAGCAACTTCACCAGCTACCATCTCCTTCAGAGGCTCTTCTTGTACCCCTGCCCAGCTCCCCATGACATGCCACCACCCCTGCCAGCTGGCCTCACGCAGCAGAGCATCACCCTGGAATCACCCCTGGAGCAAGGCACAGCTCAAAGCACTTAGGACGTGTTAAAAAAAAATCATTAGAAGAAACTAAGATGGGTACTTGGCAGACTGGGAAAAACCTGCAGCAACACCTGCAGATACCAGTGGATTTCAGCGCGGTTCAAGTTATTTCTAATCCTTTTCACTACAGGGTGAAGTTTCAAAGCCCTTGTTTTCACCCCTTGCTGATAAGAGCTGATCAGCTGGGCCACGCTCAGTGACGTGGCCCATGTACCGTGCAGAAGGACATGATTTGGGGCTTGAGGGAACTGCTGGGCTGAGACAAGAGTTCTTCTGGTATTTCAGAAGCATGCAGCTTCTGGACTTTATGGCTGTTATTTCTAACGGAGCCATCAGAGACACTAAAGTCAACAGGGACCAGGTCCTCAGATGCTGAGTCAGCAATACATCTGCCCCTTCCACTCACTCTGAATGCCTGCTGCTCTTACCTGTGAAGGTCTGTACAAACACACATATGGATATTATCCAGGATATCCTGCTGTTGGTTTCATCAAAGCTTTCCATCAGGTCGTTAAAGAAGACACCAAATGATTTTATAATGCCATACGTTAGGGCTTCCACGAAGAAGAAAGCAAAAGCAACTGTCCAACCCCATCCTCCATCAGGCACTTTAGTATAAACATTTGGAGCCGTGCACGGCATCTTTACAGCTTTGACTGTCATTTTTCTGATCTGCAAAAGAGGGGAGAAAGAGCCAGGCATCAGTTTGAGGTGAGTGTTGCTGGGAGAGGCAGGGCCCAGCAGCTGTACCATCCCCAAGGCACCACTAGCTGCTCCCCGTGCAGCCGAGGGATTAAATGCAGGAGTTGGGCTGAAGTTTCTGCCTTTGTTACCCCACGGGGCTCATTTCTGCGGGTGCCCTTTAAGCCCAGGACCAGAAACTCTCCACTCAGCACCCGGGTGAGCTGTTCTCATCAGCAGAACCCAGCGCCCCGGGAGCTGTCATCTGTTTTTCTGGTGCACGGGGGTGGATGGATGCAGTTCGTGAAAAGATCCAGCGCGGGAGCGGCAGGAACTCCCCGGGATCACCCCCTGCTCCCTGGCACGGGCTGGCCGGTGACACCTCAGTGCCACCCATTTGCCACCGGGTTTGTCCAGGATACAACCCGCTATGGCAGCCTGCCGTGTCCTGAGCCCCCCG